CCGGCCCGGGCCGCAAGCGAGCCCGCAGCGCCGTGTGTAGGTGTACTGCGGGAGCAGTAGGTACGCTACTGCGGGAACCGAGCGGGAGTTCCCAGCGCGAACCAGGGACGTTCACTTTCCTCTCTGTCCCCGTGTCTTGACATGAAGGAGATCAGTTGCTAAACTGTTGCCTAATCAAGTCAGGCGTGACACAACAGCCAGCTTGTTTCAGAGGGGGAGTTTCCTGTTGGAAATCCATTTTCCTCCTAGGAGTGGCATTTGAGAAGCTAGAAGGCAGCAGAAAATGGTTCGAGGGTGATGTGGGATGTCAGAAAGCTTAAGGTCAACTAGCGTGCACAGAGGTTGTGAACTGCAATTGCTCTTAATGCTGTTTAAGATTAACCTCAGTGGTTATCGGGGTTTATTGCATCAGCACCAGAGGAAAAGGAATCCATATGAAGAAACAAAACCAAGAGGCACAGTCAGGCATCTGCATTTCAGAAAAAAAAGAAATGACTGCAAGCAGTCACTTTAATATTAGTACTAAACAAGAACACCCTTAAATAATAGAAATGCGAAGCTAGCAACTATGTCCTGAAATTAAAATATTGGCAGACGAGATATAAAAGATCACTGTAGATGAAACGAATCATCAGTGAGAGAACAAACAAAAAGTGGGTAATGAATGAAGTTGTTTGGACCTACCTGAAATGGAAGGGTACTCTTCATAGAAAAGCTGTTCTCTCTAGAGAATTCCAAAACTAAGGATAAAGTAATGAAGAATTAACTCATACTGGAACAAGCTGTGCCTTTATAGTGCAGGTCTGTGAAATGTTCAGAACCTTCAATGTCAGTAACTTCAGAAGTACTCAAAGCAGCCTGGAGCCCAGGTCCTTGTGCATGGTCTAACAAAGTAAACTGAGATCGTATCTGAAAGTCCCAGATGTAATCATGCCTTTAAGCCTTGATATTCTTATTCCCTCTGTTTCCCCAGCCTTTACAAACACAGACAAAATGAGAGTGTGCTCCTGATGGGTTGTAAACAGAGGTACAATCTGTACAAAAATTGGGAAAAGGGCAACTTGCTGCATTTTTTAAAATAGCAAAATCTAATTTTCCTTCTTGTAAAACATTTCTAAAACCAGATTTGTTCCCCAGAAATTGGAAAACACCTACTTTGTTGTTCTGAAAAGGGAATCTGTTCAGCTTACCGAGTAGCTTTGTCATAAGACTGATTGTTTTTGCTGTTGGTATCACGGCGGCTCCTAATGATCCTTGTGGCAGACTGGAAGCCTCCCCTACTGGGCACTGTCCAGGAGCCCTGCCCCAAGACAGGGGCCTAGGAAGGCAAACCAGTGGCAAACAGCACTGCAACATGGATTTGGCTCACAGCAGAAATCCTTACACAAGCCTCAGCCCCCTGGTAGGCCCTCCCTTTCCTAAAGTCTGAGTAAATAGAGATGCCTTTCAGGATGTCTGGAAGGTCAGTGAGCTGTTCAGGCAGGAGAGCAGCGAGTTCCTATGGTCAGGGACGCTCCCCCTCCCCATGGGCACCCTGCCACTCCTTTTTGTACACTACTGGAAGACGGATGAGAATACCTGAAGACATTATAGTAGGATGTGTGAAGCGAGCCCTCATTACCGGATTGTAACATAGGGTTTTGTTGGTGCTTGTGGTACATTCAACACTAGCTAGTAGAAATGCACAATATAATACAGTTTCTCAAACACAAACATTCTTGGTTTCCTCTGGTGCTGCTGCTGACCTTAACTGGAAGTTCATCTAAACTGAAAAATAATAAACCACCAGAGCTCAAAAATTATTAGTCGATTTTCTAGGCTGGAGAACCAGGTTTACTATTAGTTTAAGACTCCTGGTTAGACTGAATTATACAGAACTAACTTTGTTCAATGAAGCCATCACCAGCAGCCAAGGAGACTGATTCAAGGAAAATAAGTGATTTTTCTGCTGGCAATGAGGTGTCACCTGGAATTAGCCTGTTTAAATGAGTTGAATGGTTGAGTGTTGCTAACCAGTAAATAACGCTGGGAGGACTTCAGCTCAAAATTACAGGGCCATTTCTGACTTGTTGGAAAAGAGTAACTGCTAGCTTTCCGAGATTATAGGATTAAACAGTGTCAGTACTTTAAATGTGACTCATGAGCAGGGGCTTTCTGAAGAGAATTACATAAATTTCCCAAGGTCTTTCTGAATAACAAATTGTTCAAAATCATTTCCTCATCTTTAATAACTATGGGTGAAATCCTGGTCCCACTGAGGTCAACAGAAAAAGTTCTCCTGATTTCAGTGGGTTCAGGACTTCATCCTCAGACTCCAGGAAATGTTCAGCTCTTCTGTGGTAAGTGGGTGAGGAAGAAGTGAGGAAGACTCACATGCAGCTGGACATGGTATTTTCTACATAGTGACAATTTGCTGTCCTTAGATTTTTATATTTATGTCACTTAGTGATGAACCAGATTCTATTCTTATTTGCACTAATATGGATGGATTTACAATATATTTTTAGGTATCTCTGAGCAAAATCTATCTTCTTGTCAAGGCATGTGACCCCAGACATTTCTTGCTGAGTTACAAGAAGTACTGTATGAGGAACTGTGCAATTCTTGGTTGATCATGTGGAAATTTAGCTTAGACACACTGCTGCACCAAGGCAACTATTTGCTTACCTGCACTAAGTTAATTAAGCTGACTTTGCTATAATTATTGCAGTTCTAATAAAGAGTAGATAACATACTGTAATTACCCGTATAGCTATTAAAAAAACAAACAAAGAAACCCCAAACCTATACACCAAAGAAAGCTGGAAAACCAAAATAAAAACCATTTTACCACAAGTCACTTTATGAATAATAGAAGTAGTGGAGTCTGTTTTCCTTTGGATTTGCACCTTTTGTCCATTGGGCCACCTACAGAAAGTGCTCAGTTTTCTTCCAGACCTCTTACCTCACCTCTTCAGAGCAAGAGGGAGTCTGTGTCACACAGAGCTGTGTGCATCAGCTACGTAGCTTGCCCATGATGTTTGGATGGCCTCTCTCCCTCCAAAATTGGCTTAAAAATTAATAAGAATTAAAAAAAAAAAAGGAAGAAAAAAGAAAAAGAGAAGAAAGTAGAGAGCATTGTTGGGTAGGTTAATTTTCTTAGGAAAACTACTAGAAATGAGGTTCCTCCATGGGTGTCCATTTGCATAGTTCCCCTGAAGTCTCTTCAATCATACTGGTTTTTATCAGCAGATCAGACTATAAATATTTAAGAATCTCAAACCTCTTGTTGAGCATACATGAGGACAGTTTCCCATTTTACAGGAAGAAAGGAATGAAACAAATGGATTCATGTTTCTCATGACTCAGTCCCTCTAACGCAGCCCGTGCTTTGACACTGCAGAGCATGTATAGCCTTTTACCTTTGTGCCAGCTCTTGTCATTAACCATTTTTCAGGAGTTCATAACCAGATCTATAACTCTGTTTAAAATTGAGCATAGTAATTCTGTGACAGATCCTGTCTTGGTTAGCAAACTTCAGCTTCTAGAACTCCTTGAGCTTTGCTACAATGTGTCTGAGCTCAATGTACACTCTGTCCATTGGAAGCTAGAATCTGTGGTGGTGTAACTCTGAGAATGTAGATAGTTTTAAGCTTCTTTTGTACTTTAAATAATAATATTTATTTGCTTTCTGATTTTTGTTCCTTATTTTTTCTCTTCCTTTTCACTCTATTCCCATTTGTCACACGTTATTAGTTTAAATCTTAACATTATACATACACACAATCTTTTTTCAATATTAAGTTTCAGAAAGACCTAGAAATGGTGTGATGCACTAACACTTTTGTTTTTAATGCTGACTTTAAGCTTAAAAAGTAGAAGTTTTTACTAGTGACCAAATTCTTAACTGTTTGTCTCTAGTGAGAGATTTGGGTATAAGGGGAATAGGGACTGAAGCAATGCAAGAAATATAGTATTATTCACAGTATGAAATATACCTCTAGGAGATATTATTTGCCCTTCTATGGTTGTTGAAAGACTATTCTTATTATCTCTTTTTACCTTTCAGCAAAATGATGGTCCAACACTCAGGCCAGGTATCTGCATTAGAAGTCAGCGCCTCCGCAATTGTTCCCACTTTGTCCCCTGCAGGGTCACTAGGGTTTGATGATTTCACAAATTTAACCCCACTGGTGAAAGAGGAACTGAGGTTTGCCATTCAGAACAAGCGTCAGTCCCACAGGATGTCTTCTGCACTGGACACGGTGACAGTTTCTGAAAGGCCAGTTGAAACATCAATCATGAAAACAGAGGTATGGCTCTTTAAATAGCATTTCAGTTGTGAATTATTCTCTAATAAAGTTTCACCACAAGACCAGTTATTTTATCAACTACAGACAACCCTCTCCACTGTACTTGACCCTGCTGCTTGGCTTTCTGTTAAATGCTTCTGGGAAACCTTCTGTTATTTCTCATTTCCATGGAGGCCTATCATTGGCTATTTCAGTTATGGATTAAGGGCAATGTTTCACAGTGTTTAGAGCAAGTGCTAATCTGGTTTCCCTGCCTCCTTGTGTCTGAATTTGGAATAAGTCACTGCTGGTTTTATTGCACTAAGGACAGTCCAGTAGGACCCATGTCCTTAAGCTAGACTAAGATAGACATAGCCCTGTGAAATGCTGGGGTCTGAACCCCGAGCCCCGAATTAAGGTTGCCATCTGGGTGATCCCCACAGCCCTTCATACAGAGGGGTGAGTTTGCCTTAGAGCTTCCCCCCAGGGTGCGGCCGGCCCTGCAGGGAGAGCCAGAAGGGAAATGAGCCCCAGGGGTCCCGCAGGGAGCTGACAAAGGTCAGGGGTCTGCTGGGGATAAAAGCTGGGACCACTGGCAGGAAGGGAGGAGTGTGTCTGTGAAGTAGATGCACTTCAGAGTTTCCTGGTTGGGGAAGGACCTTCTGACTCTCCTGGAACTGGGCCCTGGTCAGCTTGGACCTTTGTAAATGTGGGCTAGGAGGGTGAGAGATGGCCACGTGGCTACCTTTGTCCTGTGTGTTTAATCTGTTGACCTGGCTGCTTCCCATTCCATCTATGGGAAACCTTGGTCCTTATTTGTTCCGCCTGTTGTCGGTTGTGCAATATCGTTGTTGGGATTGTTGGGGGTGATGTTGATTGTGTGTGAACTAATTGTCTTATTTGTACCCCTGGCAATTATTCATGGAATGACTTTTCTATATTCAATACAGCCAAGTTAGTGGTTTGTCTTTCTGCTGTCTGTGTCATTTATGCTAGGCCTAGTAACTGGCAAACACCATGCTATGTCCATAGTAAGCTTTTTCCTTTAAGATAATCATCTCTGTGAAAAACATTGCTGTTATAAAGTGGAGGCATAGCTTAAAAGGAGTGTGTTAGTACTTCCTTTTCAGCACTGGCTTTAGTTCGATGTGCTCTTGCTGCCTCAATCATAATACATCCTCCACGCTGTTCCCCTCGCCCCTTTTCCTGCTCAGGAAATGAAGGAGAGGTGGAGGTTTGGGAGTCAGCCTAGGCAGACACTTTGCAAGTTTTTTGAGTGCCATTCATTTTAAATGAGCCATCATATAGATTACATCCACCCAAACTCCAGCCAGGTTTTTATTGGCAATGCTAATGGTGTTACTGCCATTTTACTGTGTGTCAAGCAAGGTCAGAATTACATTCTTATGTAACTCACGATATAAGGACTGTCAGAGCTAGCCCTGTTGCTTTCAAAAATGCCAAAGTTACCAAAATACAGGTCATGTATTTACATCTTATGGATTGTGTCTGTCTGTTTTTTTGGGATAGTTTTCTCCCGAAGAGGATGAAAGAAAAAAGCGAAGAAGGGAAAGGAACAAAATTGCTGCTGCAAAGTGCCGAAACAAAAAGAAGGAAAAAACAGAATGTTTGCAGAAAGTAAGTGATGGGCTTGAATTGTTCTTAATCTGTCATCCTGCCAGGATCCAAACAGATGTAGCATGAAGTGTGGTCACAGTGGGAAATACAGAAAGATGTCACCCACAACTCTATAAACCCTTCAGAACATTAGTTATTTAAAAAAAAAAAACATGCTACATATTAAAACCAAAACCAGTTAAAACTGGAATAAAATGAAAGTATGGTAGGAGTGAAAAAAGATTAGTGTTTCAGTGACCAATCTTCTCTATAAGGATAATATTAATCTAAATTTTACTGCTTTTTCTATTCAGTGTAGGCATTAAATGTGATGTAATGGTCATTTTGGAGACCAAGAACTGATAAACATCAACAAGTAATTTCTAACTTCTTTATGGAATGAGTGGCATGGTGGCTTACCCTTGAATTCTCTGTCCTAAGACCCCATCCTGTCTTCACCTGCTCTGTCATGACATAAAAATACATTACAGCAGCATCCAGCCTGTCTTTATTCCTATATCTAGGGGCAAGGAAAAAAGGCTGTGTTTACTTTGTTAGATTAACATGGGCTCACAGATATGGGACATGATATTCCCAGGAATCAATAAGAAGCATAGATAATTTGGGGTCACTTTTTGACCCAAAAGGTTCAAAATCTTTTTGCAGAAGAAAAATGCTTTGGATACCTGCCATTATAATGGAATACAAGGATGAATTTGGCTTTTAAACTTCCATTACACTTCTCTAAAAGCCAAAAGAATGTAACTGTCATCTGCTTTTCAGACTAGTATCAGCTGGGGGTTGTACAGTTTCATCATTACAGTAAGAACAGGCAAGTTCTTTCTCTGCTAGCCATATGCTTTCTCACCAACAGTAGACTGCAGCTATTAGATAAACATTGTGATTAACTGTTTGAATTACTCAATCTAATAGCTGTGTCTGTCCTTTGTGACTAGGAATCAGAAAAGCTGGAAACTATCAATGCGGAATTAAAAGCCCAGATTGAAGAGCTAAAGAATGAGAAGCAGCATTTGATATACATGCTAAATCTTCACAGGCCCACTTGTATAGTTCGGGCACAAAATGGAAGGACACCTGAAGACGAAAGGAATCTTTTTATTCAACAGATCAAAGAAGGCACATTACAAGGTTAAGTACTATGGCAAACATGGAAATATCATTTTTAACAACTACCAGAATGCATGGAGGATCTGACGTAATGTGTAGGATTCTATTAGTCAAGAGCCTTTAGGAAGAGCAGATTGCTTTCTTCAGCAGAAAGAATAATTTTGGCTTGACAGTGATTCTTCCCCTTGGAAGATCTGGTCTCAATCAAACTGAAGAGTCTTCTGCCTCAAATATAGGTTTTGCACCTGTCATACTTGCTGTTCCTAGGAGCTACAGACAACAGCTTCAGAAGTTTTAGGTCTCTGCTAGTATACAGTATCTGCACTCACAACATTTGTGCTAGAACACTATGACTTCTGATGATGCACATGGTACAGACAGCTGTGCTGGATGGACACTACTTCTCCTTGTTACCGGTAGGGAAAGCAGACAGTGTTTTTAAAGCTTCAGAGTTTCCAAGAGGATGGTTTCTGGCAGAATGTACTGATACATAATGCTGCATTCTAACCTAACACATACACACAAACACACACACACAAAAAAGCCTTTAGTTCCAACTAAGCTTTGTACTTTTATTTTTTTTCCACAACACTTGTGTGGGTTTTTTCTGACTCATCTCAGACTGAATCCGAAGAGCCTAGCAGGTGTAAGCAAGAAATGTTTCTTGCAAGATGTCCATGTAGCCAAGATTGTATTTTATGAGCTGGAACCCCACCTACTATCCTTTGGGGACTACAGTTTTTCCTTGAATTGCTAAAGAGCAGTTTGTACCATCACTTGGTGATGTGGTAAATTGGACCCACTGGAAAGAGGAAGCTAGCTATGGAGGGATGGCAATACAGGTTTTGCTCAAGTGAAGGACTGCAGGACCGAATCCTAGGCTCAGGAATCATGAAGAGATTTAAAAAAAAAATCTAGGTTCTAATCCTACAGGCCTTAAGTCATGCCCTTCACTGTTACTCACAGAAGAGGTTCCATGGACTTCATTGGGTCTGCTTATGCAGATAGCTCTTACAGGCATAAGAGTTTGACAGCTTTTTCCATCCTGGTCAGGAGTACTTCCTTTTGCCAGGTGATTGAGAGGGAAAAGTTATGATTGCAACTACTTTTGTTTCACATTTGAGGGGCAACTACAGTCAGTCAAAAGTGTTACTTAGATTCTCGAGACAAGAGTTTTGATGTAGTGAATAATTGTTTTTATTTTTTATTAAATACTAACCATAGATGTTTTTGAACTGGTAGAAGAGCTGCTGGACAAAACAGTTGGAGCTATGAGTGTTTAAATTCTGATGTTTCTGTGAAATTCTCAGATTGTTTGATCCTATAAAATATATCCTTACAATTTTTTGTAAAAGAAAATATTATCCTTATTTATCACTAATACCATAATAAGTAGAGTTAATAAATACTGTGAGCAAGATAAAACTGAAAACACAAGTGTTGTGCTGTCTTTTTACTTTTATCCTTTGGTGTTTAATATTATATAGTCTTAAACTTCACCAGTTGTATCTGAGGCACCACTGTTGAGAACACTTATCCATCATCTTTTCTACAGATGAGGCACTGAGTATCTTGAATTATTTGGTACAGACATTATACCTTCCAAAATTCTGTACTTCCATTAATGTGGTGTCTAGATGTTGAATGTCACAACTGAAATGAAGCAGACAATAAGATTTGAGATTACACATAATATTTTACACCAGTTATGCAGTGTTGTAATTGTGGTTTTATTCTAAAGGCTAAACAGATACCTCAGCCATAAGCTTTTTACCCTGCAAGTCCTGGATGAGTCTAACAGATATCATACCTGATCCTTATATGATCATTATATTCTGCAACAGAACTTCTTAGTACATTTTCCTAAGATCTGGATATATTATAATGTCCTATATCGTGTTTTAAAGATATGTGCTTCATGTATCTGAAAAGTGAATGTATTACAAAAATGACATACTAGGTCCAATTCTGTCCTGAGAATCCATTATCTTTCTGTGTGTTGGAAGGAGCTTCCATTAATCTCAGTGAGTTTTATTCATGTCTTGTAGAAAGGGTTTGGAGTCTCTGCTGCAATTTCTCTAGCTTAGAGGGCAAATTCCATGGGGAATTGGGCCAGCTGTTTATCAGACAACAAATATACATGACGTGTGTTAGAATAAACTTGTCAAAAGATGTTTAACCTCTGTAATGTGGAAATACAAAACCAAGTCGTCATCCCAGTACCATACACCTTGGCTTTGCCTTTTGTGCATCTGATACCAACAGACAAAACTGTTTACCTTCTACACTGTTACCAAGTGTTACCACAGAGATCAGAATATAATGGCAGAATTCTTGTGTCTCCCGTAGGGAATTTGTATGGTTGCTTTTAACCATCTCACTGGTGACGCAGGCGTCACGCTTTTGTTGCTTGATGTTATTTACTTAGCATGCCAAATGTTAATATGGTACCACTACTATTTTCAGAAGATAAACTATTTTTATTTCTTTATATGTGCAGTCATAGCTGCTTTCTACTGCTTTTGTATGTGTGTGTGCATGCGTGCTCCTGCACGCTACTCTAGAAATGGTGGCACTCGAGTTCACTTGACTGTGCCCAGAGAAAGAATGTTTAAATGGCTAGACAGAAAGAGTATGTTGCATGATTTTTCTAAGAGTACACTCTATTCAGGAGACAACCCTTAAACTGCATTAAAGGCAATTTGTTTTCTGTTAAGTTTGTTTTGATACTTTAATAAAAAAGAATATATATTTATTCATGTGTCATTTAATTCATTCTGAGTTTCATGGTCCAGGAGCAACCTCACTTTCTTAAAACAACACTAAAAGATTAAAAAGCAAATGCATTTTATAGGTTTGCAACTATAATTGTCTTATAAAATGACATTAGTACTGTTCACTGCTTGTCAAGGTATAAACAGTTTTGCTATTACAAAGTTAGTCATGATTTCCAAGCTAATTTCTTATTTGGGGCCTAGGGCTTAGATTAAAGGACTGGAAATTAGAACTCCTGAACCTTTCCTAATCTTGCAACCAACTAGCTGATAGTTATTTCAGCTTTCTGATTACCTAATGGGTTTAATGCTTTTGCTCCTGTGAAGCTTTAATATTTATCAATTGCTTTCTATGGTTACATGGGAGATACTAAAGAAGTATAGCATGATTCTGACTTTTTTTTTTTCTCTGTGTTGGGGTGTGTGCATGTGTTTGCCTGTGAGGGTGTGTGGAGAAACATGAGAAAAGATGAACAAAATGTTCTAACCTGTCTTTCCAAAACTAAGTATCTACACCCAGACAGAAGTCTCTGTGTTTTGACAGCCAGTGATGTGGACAAAAACTTTTGGCTTCATTCCACTGCAAGCAGTCGTAACTTGAAATACAGAGGTCAAATAGAAGGCCAGGAGCTCCAGGGACCAACAAATCTACTGCACTATTGCAAAATCCAGTTAAAAATATCAACTGGAATAAAGATCTAGGCTACTACGAGCTTGGCAATGTTGAGTGCTTAGTTTCCTTATCTGTACATCCATTTACAGACCTGCAGTCCCAACAGGGATATTCACCCTTTAATGCATTCTCTAGAGCTGCTAACAAATTTTACTTTTGAATATCTGATTCGCTTCTAATTTGGTAAATTTATAAATCATCTGCCTAACGTGCTTTAGAAAACCTTACCAACAAAATTTTGGCTATGAATTCCTGAATTTATATTTTATAATATTTTCCTTAAATAGTAGGAGTTAAAACCATGAAAACACCATTGGTCTCTATGACATATTTGTAAAAGCATAACTAATATTCTTTTAACAAAATAATATATTGTATCTTCTGAGGTGTTGTTTTAGATGCTAAATTTATGTGTGTACAGGCCCATGCAGACCTTAAAGCATGTTGAGCTTTACACTGTACGTTAATAAGGAGCATCTACTTATTTTCTAGTGTTTCCCTTGATATAAATGAATAGACAGCAATGTTGAAGGTAGGTAGAGCTGATGACTTATACTAGGCTGGAAACATTTAATGAAACAGAATGGTAACAAATTTAATTTTGCATTAAGACTTTTTTACCTAAGCCCATTAGAATTTGAAGTTATTGATTTAAATGAAAAAAAAAAATCACTAATTCTTAATATTGCAAAAGAAACTGGATGGTAATGAAAATTAAACAGTACAATAATTTCTTAGCAGGAGAATTTTGAAAGCTTTATCTTTGAAAAATTCCTAATTCCAGAATGACAACTGTCTCTCACATCCTCCCCCCACCTTCACCAGAATACTGGAGTAGGTACAAGGCTCATTCATGCTGGCAACTGCCATGTTTCTGTGCTTGCCCAGTGCCCCCAACTGGAGACCCTGAGAATCACATAATTAAATTGTGAAATAATATTAATTTATATCAATACTTAGTAACGTTCTTCATTAGTTTGTAATTACACCGATACAGTATTTTCATTTCTGTAATAGACATAATTCCTTTTTAAAGTGTGGTTAAGATAAAGAGTGGCAGTACTTTCTTTTTAAATCCTGTTATTTAAAGTTCATTTGCATTTAGTGGACACTGGACCAGAACTGCTGACTTCAGTGATAGAAACAGTTATTTACTATTTTCCATGCTATTTGATCTTCAAAGCCATTGGAGTTAAAGGATGAAACACTGGAAACTGTTCTTGATACAGCACCAGTTCCAGCTGTATGTCTTTACTACTGGTGACAGTGATGGAGGAAAAAAAAAACCAAAACAAAAAACCAGAAACAATTAAACACAAGAAAACCCCACCCATCCCAAGCCAAACAAGTCCCTAATGATTTTAGACCCCAAGCTAAGTAGCAGAACTGATGTTCAGAAAAATTTTTGGACCTATGAAACAAACGAATAGAAAATGGAAACAAACTGAGAGTTGAGGTTGGAATCCTTTTTCTGGTTTTGAGAATTTTGTAACTTTGTACTCTGCCAAAGCAATTGGTGCACCACCATGCCCACTTAGGCCAGGGTATGCCCACACAGCAACAGTGGTGTAGCATAGCAATGTTTTTGATATAAGCTAATTTAGTGATGGGAACATCTCAGTGATGACAGCAAGAAACTCAGTACAGGCTAATTGGTGCCGCTGAGAGGATGAGCATTCTGTGCAGCCAGAGCACAGGCTGCTTCTGGCATCTGAGGTAGCTCATTTAGAGCCAGCTCAGATATCGTTCGGCTCCTCAGGTTAGTGTGTCACGTAGCTGCCTGAACTCCCAGCCAAACGGCTCCACCAGCTCAGAACAAAGGTCCACCCAGCCCAGTTTTTGTTCTACAGCAGCAATCAAAAGCAGCTGAAGAAAAGGAAGAACAGGGCGAGTATGCTTCCTCTGTGTGCTCTCCCGAGTCACACAAGCTTGACATGATTTCTTTAGGTATTAGCCTTCCATAGGTATTTCTTTCAAGTATTTGACCAGTTCCTCACCCACAGTACCAGCATCTGCAGTATGCTGCAGTATCTCCTGGCAAGCTCCACAGGGCT